AGTTCAGCTGTGGCTGAAGACTAGTGCTTGACTAATCCCTCTTTTATTGACGTCCTTATGAATTTTCATATTTTTCAGGTTTTCAACACTTTTCGAAACCTCTTGAATTTTTTTTATGCAGCTTTCTATGCATTAAGCTTTCCTTGGGTTGATGTGAATATTAGTTGCCCACAAAATTATGTTTTTCCTTCCAATTTAGTCCGTCCTCGAAACTAACAGGAAATGTGATCTATCTAACTGCTTGCCATCATCTTGAATTTGTGCGTGCAGTGAGTAAGGAGGGTGGACAGTGTCCTAGATTATTTAATACCTGAACTGGAGAATCAACTGGCCTACCCGTACACACTACTAGCGACATAAATCCGACTGCCATCGGTGAAGTCGAGTAATCCCACATCGTTCGAATCCATCAACCACCTGCGCATGCACAGAAAAAAATACACCGAGAAATGCGCGACTGCAGTTGCACATTACGACTTCCAGCAACCATCTGAACAGAACATCATTGCTAACTTATCGATCAGAATGGTTGCCGTCTAACTAACCTTGACGATGTTCCGTATACATCTGCGAGATGTTCGCAACTTCTCGTGCGTACGTGCATGTGTTTGCGGCCAGATGTATCTGTCCGTCCAACACTCATCCTGGGTTCAACCTACCTTTCCGATTGTCGACCTGCCTAGCTATCTACCTGAGTGACCAGCGTCGAAGCATTTTGAGCGGGACAGAAAAGCACATCAATCGGTGGGTCGCTCGATCGACCAATAACAGACAGCCGGTTCCATACATACGCACACTACGCGCCAACACATGTTCACAAAGTGACATATCGCAACACACCGTTGAGGCGAGCTGCATGCAGTCGTACCGTTCTTGACGTTCTTGTTCTCTCCAAACATCCACGACTTCTTCAGCGAAGACATAAACAACAACCTGACATTGCGTGTGTACGCGCTGCATGTTGCTGGATTCCCTTGCAGAAATGTGGAGAAGTTAGCGCAGTTTTCAATCCACAGGTGGAAACGTGGAACAACCGACAAGTCGTTGTCATTCAGTAAGTTTTCCCATAGTCTGCGTGCGATATCCCAAGACAATATCGGTCATTTGACGTACATAGTTGTAACCTTGCATATCCGTGATAGAAGCAATCTACCTGATAACAGCATGAATAACCCAACTGTCATAGGCGTCAAGTTTAGGGCCCGAGTCTTCCGATTTCGTCCTGGTTTATGTGTTCCTTGCATCGAGTACAATCTGACGTGGCTCTTCAAGCCGTTGATCAAGCCCATCCTGATTATCTGGCGACATACGTTAAACGGAGCTCGGTCAGGAGTATGCAGTATTAGTTATGCACCCAGGCAATGTAAGCTAATTACTACAACAAAATTAGTATTCCATTCAGTAGGAATATTGTGCGTTCTTAGTTGACCTTGGCCCAAGACTCACTCCTACTGATATTCACAGTGAAAAGGCAGAGAAAATTTTCCGAATGAACAGCGAAATTGCCTAAATTGAATGTATTGAGGTTAAACGAGCTTCATAGCAAGGAGCATGAAAAAACCCACCAGGAAGATTACAAACAGTGCATACTTTCACTCGAATGTCAGTTGATTGATTGGGTATTATTAATCGAGGCGGGTTGGTTGAGTGGTTAGTTAGAACGCGGATGTACTGACCGGAAGGTCTGTGATTCGAACCCGACCTCTGCACCTCGATATCCCCTGTCTAGGCTTGGGCAACCTGGTGGTATATCAGCCCTCTTGCTTCTTGCTTCCTTCTGGTGGGGGTATCTCCAACTAAAATGGGCATTATTCGGTTCTATTTCATCAACATCGTACATATTGCTTACTGACATGATCCTTGATCTGTGAACACAGGTAAAGTTGATGGAGAGTTACGCAACTTGCAGCCGATTAGGGGACTAGTATTTTCCAAGCAACCGTGCTGTAAGTCGTCTGATGACCAGATAGAAAATATAATGTAGTCAGAAAAGGAATCACTTTTGCGATGATAAAAACTCGCTGATTTAAAATGAACGAGTATTTCGAAGCGAAATCGCTTCGAGGCTCATCGGAATGCAGGAATTGGTGAGTAATCGATACGTCTCGGAAATTAGTCTTTTTTTAACATTTCAGAGTTAATGATTTTTTGCGGGGGAAGTCATGTGTTTGAATCGGCCGCTGCTCTCATCGCCCGAACGCATTGCACAAAATTTGACAAAATTTCTGACCTAGGGAATCTCGTGAAAACGACCAACAGGAATGTCCACCGGAGGTAATCATGGTTAGACGGTCCTTAAATTTTGACCGTGCCGTCCCATAGTTCGCCCTCTGTTTCCTATGCAGATTATTTACTAGGTCATCCATAAAATCGTGGATGTCATCGTGTTTCTACAAAGTTCAGCAACCCAGCAATATTCGGAATTTATTGAATGGTTGCTTCCACAGACGTCTCCGGTGCATCACTTGGTATTGTTGGTAGTCCATTCTGTTTATTGGCTCAACATGTTCTTGTCAACAAAGAAACCAAACTGAATTTTCAAAACACACATTTCTCAGATCAAGACTTGCACTAACATGTCATCCTCTGAACTGCGTCACTATCGGTCAGTACTTCCGACACGCAGCACCCAGCGGCATTCCTGGATGACTACCGCTGGTCCTCAAAGTTTCAATCGTTTTGCGCATGGTCAGGTGCATATCGCCTATCTATGATAGGTATCCGTCAGTTTGGTCCCAGCATGCCAATTAGTTCCGCGGATTTGTACATCTGATGTATAATTGAGCGCACCATCAGCGTTACCGTATCGCGGGGACGTAGATATATCCTATTTACGTGTGATTTATTCGGCCCATATCGATTGACTTTTGCTCAGGTTACTCATTGCACAATATTTTAGAACCGGAAGTGCACTCAGACGGTTTACCTAAAAAAAATCAAAACTGGGGTTCAGGTAGGAAAAACCGAAAACATGCTAAAAATATCAGTAGGTGAGTCTCGGTGTCTCAAAAAAATGGTGAAAATGCGTTAGCGAAATACGCTCAGTTGCGTACCAATTTAGTCTTCGCAGCAGACCCAACTGAATCTCTCGTTTATTATGTTCTTTTTCGGCCGAGTAAGCTGCACCAGGCCGGCTTATTTTTCAGCTGGCATGATACATACTTTGTATAAACGTGACACACTACTCATAAGGTTGCTGAAATCTGTTCGATAGCTCACGACCGGGTATCGTGTGCAGTCCGCGAGTGTCCGCCAACCCGAATTGCACGAAATTAATGAAGTACACCAATTTGAATTTCATGGGGAGCCCAGCTGAATTTGTCGTTTGTGATGCTCTTCTTCAAGCCTTGTCTTTGGTTTACTCGAAGCCTTCGACAGCGACTTACTGGTAGCATCATCCATGCGCGCATACGTTCCTCTATTTAAACGTGGTTTCTCATACGCATCTAGCATACGCTGGTGGTCTTGTGGCAACACGTTTTTCTCGCTCCCGAAGTGCAAATACAGCTACGTTCAGAGGTGCACTACTGCTAAGCCCAGTACGGTCTTTTCCGTTGCGGGTCAAACAAAACATCGTCTCAGAACAGGAAATTGGGAATTCACGTAACGGTGGTAGGAGCATGATTTCAAGGGCTAAAACGATCGGAGAGGTCGGCGGTCACACAACAGTGTTCACTGCATCCTCCATTTGTTTGGACAAGCATCTATCACCATCAAATTAATGAGTATGGCGTGCTAACTTTAAGCTCTCGGGGATGAGGCATACGAAAATGAACTTCAGCACTTCATCATGAGGTGTGGACCCAAACAAAGTCCTGCAGCAACCATCGTTCGTATCTTTCAATAGGAATATTGGCCGGTAGCAGTTCTACCGTGACATTCTTTAGATTTGCGAACATGCTGTAAAATCCTCACACGTTGCACGACTGTTGGTCAGTGGAACCCAGTTACGCCATCACCATTATGGGGTATTTGTTCAAGGTGATGAATGTCTCATATCTGGTTGTTGGTCTGTTCGCCGAGCTTGGCAGTTGGATTGCAAACGTTTCATCACCAATCGAGGTGACATCGTCAGTGCAGGGTTGAGTGGGT